AACTTGCATGGACCATCACGGTCTACAATGAACTATGCATTGCAGACTTTGAGCTTAAAGAGTGGGAAGCAGCTGCCAAAAAGCGAAGACTGGAAGCTATCACCAAAGAGGATGTCAGCCCCATTCTCAGAAAGTGTCTTTGCATGGTGGATGCAAAATCTCTTTACGACCATTTAGTCAAAACGACTGTGGGGGCCACGGAAGACCGAAGAACGGCAATTGAGATGCAAGTGATCCGGCAAGCGCTTTTAGAGACATCCACCGAAATCAAGTGGATCCGACATGAACAGATGCTAGTGGATTGTCTGACCAAGCGTTTTGGAAACCGCGCTCCGCTTTACCAGTTCCTGAAGAATGGAACACTGAATTTTACGAACTGCAGTCAACAAAATTTTACGGGTATCTGTGATTGCATGAAGTGTTTGGACTTCATTGGACACCATTGACTGCAGTGATGTCAGACATGTCCACCGGCGTGTCACCATTACCAATCTGAAGCCCACGGGGCGCAAGCATTCCGACGAAAAGAGGTCGGCGTTGCATGCACATTCAGTTGCCGTTGATCATCCTTTGCCACCCACACCTGGCAATTATTCTAAACATGTCAAACAACTCTTGAAGTCAATTTTTCAGAGCCTGCCATGAGATGTCCGCACCTGTCCATCCATTCTTTGCAAGGGGCTGTATCGAATCCCAGTGTCCTTGTCCTTGGAGGCGGTGGCATGATGCGCGAGTGCTTTGCCTGAGCATCAAGGTTTGCACGGCACAATTGAATACATTTGACTATGTTTGACATAGTATATATAATTAATTATAATTATATATATATATATGTGTGTGTGTGTGCGCGTGCGTAAACTACATATATATATATATATATTTATTTATACGCATATATTTATGGATATGTATATATGTGATATATATATATGATTCCGTGCAGGTTGGCCCTGGAAGCATGTCATTTCTTGGTAGTTGGGCTATGCTTGGAATCGATATGACCGCCTTGAGGGGGCAGGACCCAGAGGACAAAGTGGCCTCCTGCTTGGGCCCGGATGATGAACGACGCCAATGACTTTCAACGATTCAACAATGGGCCAAAGAGCCCCGAACCGAACAAGCTGGGTGTGTCTGAAAATGAGGGATTCACCCTCCAATTTGTATTACCCTCTGGTAATTTAACATAGCTATTGAAAATTGCCATTTATAGTGGATTTACCCTTTAAACATGGTGATTTTCCATAGTTATGTTAGTTTACCAGAGGGTAATCTATGGCGTTCAAAACATATTTTACTTGAGACGGTGCTGAAGAATCACCGGATTTTGGGGTACCCGGACAATGGACAAACCCAGACTTGTGGCGACAATGTGGTGTCACTGGACTCTGGGCATTAGGGAAAGTGTCCTGATGCCTTGCCGAAAAGCGGGCCCCAGCCTGCAAAACCAGTGAGGGGTCGAGCGTTCCTGGAATTGGATGAACTGGATGATGGAACAATGTAAAGGAACCCCTACAATTTCGACGGTTGTAAAAACCCCATGGGTTTCCTGACAGGTTTTCCACCAATCCTTTGGAGGATTCCAGAGCTGCGGACTAGCCACTTGGGCCACCTTCGGTGATGTGGATGCATGACTCTGCTGGCCGGGAGTGGACAGATGGACACAGAGACATGCTGCCTGTGCTGCCGGTGCTGCCATTGAAATCTCAAACTTTTCCGCGAGAAGGCAGAAGATCGGCTCCGCCGGCCGATTGTGTACAGGATATGGTCACCGTGACAGCCTGAGGTCATGAACATCGCAGCAGGTTATTTCCTGTACTGTAAAATACTGTAAATATGGATTGCCTTAGAATGTTTTAATTGTTTAGATCCATGCAACCCCATTGGGCTTGGTTTCTGACTCTATAATCATTTAGGGCCCACAGTGATGCAAAAAGCGACCGTTCAACGAGGTGTTGCCGGTGCCTTGCGACCTTCTGAAGGATGCTGCCCAGGCACAGGTAGGGCCTACATCCAGCAGGCAGTGAGGTCCTCCAAGCTGCTCAAGAGCTGAATTCTGAGGTTGTCGCATGGGATGAACGCTTCCACGTTGCAGCAGTGGGCGTCCCAGATCCGGACAGAATGTAGGATGATGTACCCTCTGGTTGTTTAATGTAGCTATAGAAAATAGCACATTTTAATAGGTAAATCATCATAAATGATTAAAATTATAACATTATATATATATATATATTATATAACTATAAATCATCTATAAATGGACCATTTCCCCCATAGCATCCATAGCTATATTAAATAACCAGAGGATAGGATGTGACATGACAGAATGTGACAGAATCACAAAAAAAAACATGACGAGCAGGAGGTTGATGCCGTCGTCAATGCGAAGGCGGGTGACATTTTCCCTTCATCCCCTCATGCCCTTTCCGAGGGTCTTCATGGACATGTTAGGATTTCTCATTCTGTTTGATGATTTTGACGCCAGTGCGGCGACAACTCAGGACTGCGTTCAAGAGTGACAGGAATGAAATGTCATCGAGTGAGATGAATGATCCTGGTCAGAACCGTCAAATGGGGAGGTGGGAAGGACAGCATTTCCAGTTTTAGAATGTTTTAGAATGTTTAGACGTGGAGGTTTCCTAAAATAGGGGTACCCTCAAATCATCCATTTTAGTAGGATTTTCCATTATAAATCATCCATTTGGGGTACCCCCATTTATGGAAACCTCTATATTAATCTCCAGAAATTGGGGGATGACCATCCTCCTATATGGTGATTCTTCTTCCAACTCTTGACTATCGGATCACAGACTGTCAGAGTGTTGAGTTCTGAGAATAACTCCCATCACTCCCCCAAGTTTTAGGACCCCCCCATCCCATCACGAATCCATGGTTTTCTGTATATATGCTAACATGACTGGGGTTATATTGATGGGATCCATGGCACACCATTTTTTTCGCAGCACCATGGATCCGTCATGGGGTATAATTATGGTTGTTTAATTTACATAGTTAGTATAAATTATAAAATTACTCCCAGTATAATTAATTATGGTTAGTATACAAAACTAACTCCAGTAGTTTGAGTCTGTTTACATCCGTTTACTGATTCGCCGCAGGCGCAGTCCTCTGCATTTGGCCACCGCGATGCCACTGGTGTGGAGGCCGTTAAGGATGTGATGCCCACGGAGCGGAGCATGTTCCAGCGGCTGGTGCACGAGGCTGGGCTCTGAAAATGGAAGGATTACCCTCTGGTAATTTAACATAGCTATTGAAAATGGCCATTTATAGTGGATTTACCCTTTAAACATGGTGATTTTCCATAGTTATGTTAGTTTACCAGAGGGTAGCCATTTTTATGGTCACTTTTTTTAAGGGAAAATGATTGAACATGATGAGAATCCATTGGATTTTGATGATTTTGATGGTTTAAAAGGGTAGCCGATTTTCAGACAAACCCATCTGCTCGAGATTTGATGAAATCTGAGGCACCCAGTGACAGAGCAGTGGAGGTGGGCTATGCGCAGAGAGGAGGTGTTCCTCACCTCGCGTGCTGAGTCATTTGAGTTGTTCAACGGTCATTCTGAATGGCTCTGCGCAAGGTCTTGGACTTTGGCTGTGGCGACGGGCGCTACCTCAGGCATGCTTGGAAGCTCTTGGAACATCTATGAACATCTAGACCTATTGCGATGTTACAGTATGACTTTTCATGACTTCGCAAGTGCCTTTTTCCCCAAACTGTTCAATACTTGTCCCATTTTACCAGTGGCTGGTCCCTTTTGGATCCAGTTGGGACCAGGCAGTTCTTGCGAAGTGCGGAGGCCTTTTGGAGCCACAAATGGCAACCCCAAAGCTCTGAGATGAAACGTTTTTTAATTTTTAAATAGAGATCGCAATGTCATACAGTGGGATGGATTTTTCACATGCGCAGTTGGACGTTTTGCTGGGTCAATTTGGCCCGAAGAGTCCCTTGGCCAAACTGGAAGGCTTTGGCTGAATCGGGCCGAGCTCTTCGCATTGTCGCCTATGAAGTTTCTGCAGTGCCCCAAGTCACAGATTGTGCGCGTCACAGCGGTTGTCATTGCAAAAGAAGCCTGGATTTAGGCAGAAGCATTGCGAAGCTTTCACATCCAGGTGCTTCAATGCTTGGCAAAACAAAGATGACTCGTGTAGCAGTTCACTGTGTGCTCTGCGAAAACAAAGCAGAGCACTTTCTTTTGAAAATAGAATCTTGCCATATATCAGACACATAGCAAGTCCTACTACATTCTTGCAGAGGCACAGAGAGAAGGTCTTGCAGTTGTGGAGTCCAGATCGCAGGCGACGTTTTCATCCAGCTGTAGAGATTACATGTTTTGGCAAAGCTGCCCGTTGCATAGCCACTGGTGGGGGAATCTGAGGATATGGTTTATTGTGTCGGTATTGTATACATTTGTATATGATATGTATATATATATATAATATATATATAATATATATATATAATATATATAATATATATAATATATATATTAGATATGTTATATCATATTCTGTATGATGTTCGTTGTTTACATAGTATCCATATATATATATATTCACACACACACATCTGGATTTCCTTCATCAATAGCAATTGGGTTCTCGACGGCAGATGCTACAGCAGCTACAATGGTACCAAGGATTCTGATGCTCATCTTCCTTCCTTGGAAGGTCGAAATCTGCAGTTGGAGCCTTGATCTCAGACACCAAGCCCCGGCAGAATCGCAGAGAGGATGGACTCAGATGGAGGCCCCATGATGTAGGCAGCGGCTTTTGATGCTTTTGGCTCCGCTCATGTGAGCTTTGGACATGCACAGCATGAGACCTAGCATGAGACCCGAAATACTGTTTGCCACATGAAGTACACAGCACATGGTGTTCCTATACAGGTGTTGCATTTTGAGTCCCAACGTTTTCTTACTTCCTTTGTCAAGATCTTTACAACAAGGTTCTCCATTTGAAAAGGCTTCAGTTCTGACGCA